CCGGGCTGGGGATTCGAACCCGCCACCTTAGGTGTACGTGGCTGGCGCCTTAGCCGGTTGAGCTATAGGCGCCGAGCCCCATCCATCAACTATTAACGGGGCAAATGACTTTTGCTGCCCTCTATAAATTTAGAGGTATTAAGTAAGCCCTTTTCCGGCAGCACCTGTGGCTCAAAAGGGTAGGGCGCTGGCCCCATACGCCAGAGGTAGCAGGTTCAAACCCAGCCCCAGCCAAAAAAAAAAAACGTAAGCACTTTTCAAGGGAAATACCATAGGCCCTCCCATTAGAGAGAAGGTTGCAGAATAAGTCACTGCCCTCAGACAAGTTAAAAACAAATCAGAAGGGCAGCGCCTGTGGCTCAAGGAGTAGGGTGTCGGCCCTATACGCCAGAGGTGGTGGGTTCAAACTCAGCCCTGGCCAAAAAAAAAAGCGAATCAGAGTACAGAGGATGAAGTGCTCACTGGCATCTGAGGAGGCCTAAAAGAGGAAATAGGCTAAGTGGGATTCAACAAAAGTTAAAAAGGGACACCAAAAAGTAAACAACATAAAAAAAACAGACAAATTTTTGTATGTTGAAGAACATAGAGTGAGAAGGCAACCCACAGAATAGGAGAAAATACAGTAGAACCTTCATAGTTGACCACCTCATTGACCACCTACTTAAGTTGACCTGATTTTCATAGAGCAGACATGCACCACATGTACTCGATGGGTACCTGATGAAGTTCCTTATTGCGACCCCCTCGGTAGGTTGATCAGTTTGTTACAGTCCCTTGGGTGGTCAACTTACAAAGTTTCTACTGTATTTTCAAATCATATGTCACATAAGAAGTTACTATACAAAATATATAAAGAACTCCTATAACTTACAACAAAAAGCCAAACAACTCCACTAAGAAATGGACAAGGGACTTCAATAGGCATTTCTCCAAAGTAGATATACAAATATCCAATAAATTCATAAAAAGATGTTCAATATCACTAGTGATATGGAAATGCAAACCAAAACCACAATGAGATACCACTTCACACATTTTTGGATGACTACCATCAAAAAAAGAAATCGAAAATTACAAACGTTGGCAAGGATGTAGAAAAATTGGAACCCTTGTGCACTGTTAGTAGGAATATAAAATGGGGCAGCTGCTACAGAAAACATTATTATAGTTTCTCAAAAAATTGAAAATAGAATTACCATATGATTCAGTAATTCTACCTCTGGATATAGTGCCCAAAGAATTGAAATCAGATCCATACTCAAACAGATATTTGTACATCCAAGTTCATAGTTCATAGCAAGTAGTATTTTTTTTTTTTTTAGAGACAGTGTCTCACTATGTCATCCTTGGTAGAGTGCCATGGCATCACAGCACACATCAATCTCAAACTCTTGGTCTTAAGAGATTCTCTTAACTCAGCCTCCCAAGTAGCTGGGACTACAGGTGCCCACCACAATGCCTGGCTATTTTTTTTTTTTATTGTAACAGTCATTGTTGTTTGGCAGGCCCTGGGCTGGGTTTGAACCCACTAGCCTGGGCGTATGTGGTCGGCACCCTACCCACTGAGTACAGGCACTGAGCCCATGGCAAGTAGTATTATTCAGAAGAGCCAAAAGATGAAAGAAACCAAATGTCCACCAACTGATAAACAAAATATGGCATATACATACAATGGAATATTATTATTTTTTTTTTTTTTGAGACAGA